TAATATTTTTTTAAAAAACTAATAGTATGTCCATCTCAGGCAAGTTGCCATTTTGAGATCTGCCCTCAGCCCCCAGTCACACCTAAGAATTACTAGAAGGAGGAAACAGTTGTTGTTGGTGCAAAATCGCACGAAAATCGCACAGAAGCACAGGTTGCGCATGTTTTTCAAACACTCCAACATAGGTGAATGGGGCTACAAATGTGTGATTCTGCACACAAAAAATAGCTCATGTACAAGTGACACAATGCTCAGGTGTGAGCAGGCACCATTGACGTTGATGGAACGCTTTATTGTTGAGCATTATTGCAATTTGGGAAACGCACAACAAAATGCTCATTGCAAGTCCCCGTTCACACATAGGCATTCCGTGAACGCGCCCCAATTCGGGGAAAAATGCACGCTTTGATGCCCATTCATGGATCATGGTAAAAATGTAAAAACCTCTTGCGGTGCCATTACTAGCTAATGGCACCCCAAACGCATCTGGGCAAATGTGCAGGAAAAAAACGTGGGACGCCTGTAGCAGGGTTTGCTACATGAGCAACTTTCCCACGCTTGTGCGTGCAGGAACCCATTGAAATCAATAGCTGAAGCGCAGAAAACAAATGCCTGCGAAGGTGCATGAACACAATGTGCATTCTCGCTACACTAAGGTGTGAATGGGGACCAAATTGGGGCTGAAGCTCAAAAAAGTATATGAGCTTCTATCCGGGCAGAATAGTGCGTTTAGGGCTCCATAACTTTTATTGGGAGTGCCCGGAAAACCACTATTTGGCGCCTAATGATCGTCTCCTAATTCTAGTAACAAGCTTTCCATTGGCTAAAACAAAAATGCTCAGGCTTGAAATGTTTATTGCCTCTGTATGTGGTGGGCAGACGCAATCAGCGGTGACACTGACAGACCGCCGGGTGGAGGAATGTGGAGAGGGGATCCTCTGCCCTTTGACCCACATACTAACCCAGCGTGTAGATGACATCACAGCAAGGGGGGGAGTGCCAGCAGGGAGAGCTGTGCTCAGTACACACATCTGAGCCTGCAGCACACACAGCCTGTCCTTCCTCTGATTGCAGCCTTTGCTGGGATTCTCCTTCATGGCCAGATTACTGAAAAGCTTCAGCATCCTTCTGATGAGACAGAGGGGGATGTCACCTGTCACCGGGAGCAGAGCCTGGAGCAGAGCCAGGATGGTGCACTCGGATGCTGGTGATCATTGTGTATGGGGCACACAGGTAATAAATGACCAGGGTGGATGCTGCTGTCATTTGAATTGTATATGCAGATCTTCTGTTACGTTGACAAGGTGTCGAACATTTACATCTGTCAGAACTAGCAATCACCAAGAATGCTCAAATCTGTTGTCGAATTGCCCATGTATGCTCTTCTGTAAAGTGTCGATAGAAGACTCTTCTGTGCTGGCCTGACAGGTTCTCTTTAACCAGTGACTAAAGCTGGCCATACACTCTGCACTCTGATGGTTCTTGACAACCATCATAAATACTCCTTTTGCCAAGCTAGAATTGGCTTGGCAAACTTCAATTGAAAAAAAACAAAGTTGGCCAAAATTGGCCAAAATTGTTGGCCAAACACTGCACTCTTGCAGTCACTGTTCAGATATTCTGACAGCTGCCTGAATACAACAGCCGGCAGGGAGATTCCTCCATCCACACTGTCTAGTATGGACGGGGAATCAAATGGGCTGCACAAGAAAAAAAACTATACATGTGTGGCCAGCTTAAAGATCAGTGTGCACAAGCAGCCAAAGTGCAGCTTTAGATGGGACCCCTCTACTATCTGTAATAATAATCAGTTAGTGTAGGACTAGATGCAACACCAATGCATACAAGTAAGCCTGACATTGGAAAGATATGAAGGCTGTCTCTGCAGACCTCCTTGACTGAAATCCCTATTTGCATGGTTGTCATGCTTTGGCTTTAATATATGAGTGTCACTAATCCTGACACCTATATATTAGGTATAGAATGGTATAGTACAGTAGTGGTATAGTATAGTATTGTGTCGTTTAGTACAGTATAGCAGTACCATAGTAATAGTATAGTAGTGGCATAGTATTAGTACTGTAGTAGTATAGCATAGTGTAGTATAGTAATAGTACAGTATTAGTATTATAGTAGTAGAGTATAGAAAGGTTTAGTATAGTATAGTATTGGTATTTTACAGCAAACAGGGGAGCATAAGGAGTTACGCGAAAAAAACTTCTAATAAACAATATGATACACCAAACTCCAGGGTTTCGACTGATTTTTGGTATTGGTATTTTACTAGTATAGTATAGTAGTGATATAGTTTTAGCATAGTAGTAGTATAGTATATAATGCTATAGTAGTGGTATAGTGTAGTATGATAGTATAGTATACTATAGTATAGTAGAAGCATAGTGTTAGTATAATATAGTAGAAGGATAGTATAGTATAGTATTAGTAGAATATAGTAGAAGGATAGTATAGTATAGTATAGTAGAAGTAAAATAAAGTGTTAGTATAATATAGTAGAAGGATAGTATAGTATATTATAATACAGTATAGTATAGTAGAAGTATAGTATTAGTATAATACAGTAGTAGTATAGTATAATATAATAGAAGGATAGTGTAGCATTAGTATAATATAGTAGAAGGATTGTATAGTGTTAGTATAACATAGTAGAAGGATAGTAGAAGTATAGTGTTAGTATAATATAGTAGTAGTATAGTAAAAGTATAGTGTAGTATTTCTCAACAGCTCTGCTATGACGCTTCATGTCAAGTTTGAATGCATAGTCCTTATGAAAGCTTTCCTTTGGCTTTTTCAAGGTGACAACGCTCACTGAACTCCCTCCAGTCTAGCAGAGTGTTGTCACCCATCAGGTAGACAATGCACACAACGCAATCATGAACTGCCGTAGTCACTGGAGAATCAATCGGTTGTAAGTGATAAGCCGCTCGCTGATGGCTGTCTTCTCCCTTAGCCAAGAACATTCCTGAAAAGGTATTAAGCTGCATTTATTTGACATATTAGCTGCATGTTAGCAATGCTCCATGCCTTCACTACACTGTCTTTGTTTAGTGGAGGATGTACAGAAGCAGGAAGTGCCCCACTGACATGACTGTCCATAGATGTTAGATGATCATCCCCCAATACGGCCTCTTCGGTCAGATCAGACAGAAGAGCCTGTAGGGTAGTGGCCATAGCCCCAAAACCTTTCCCTGGCCCTCGTACTGGGTGCGCATGGTTCATTAGACATTGTGCGATTCGTTTCGTATCCCTATCCGAATTACAGATATAACGAATGCAAACGAATCCGAATTTCCGTTTCCGAAATTCATTAGCGGTAGTTCGTTCGAACGTTCGTTTCTTATTCATTTCGTTTGTTCGTTGCAGCAAAGTGACATTAGAGGAGAAAAACATTTTTTTTCCTCAAATGTCACTTTGCTGCAACGAACAAACGAAATTAATAAGAAACGAACGCTCGAACGAACTACCGCTAATGAATTTCGTCCGAATTCCGAATCTGAATTGGCTTTCACACCTGAATCCCAAAAAACAAAATAACACAAAATCCGAAGTGCCAGTGCACATGTCTATGGTTCATCCTCACTGGTCTAAACAAAACGCATCATGAGACAGTCCGTTCCAAATTAGCGATTTCTTGACAACCATCATAAATACTCCTTCACGGTTTAGTATTCACACTTTGTGCCCGCGATTGGAATTGCCTAGAGGTGGCGGATACATCTCGTATTCTGTAGAGCGAGGCTGCAGAAGAGTGTTCCTAGAGATTGGAGCGTATGTGAGGAGGAACGCTCCGTATATATGGACTGGAAATTTCCACTGTCTTCCCAGCACCATCTGTGGCTATTTCCAGAGAATTACATCCAGGAGGAAATTACGCTTTAATTAAGTGAATTCATGGATGACGAGGTATCTGCTGTGCACACAGCTCCGCATCTCAGTACAAGCCGGCGATGCGTAATGTTCTCTATTGATTCCGATGGGTTTTATTGATCGCAGGCTTGCAGAATTCAAGGCTGTTGCTGTCTATATCAATCAAGGTAATGATCTGAACCTTTTGTCCGATAACACATAGGTCAAGCTGGCCATAGGCATTAGAAAAGGGATGGTCATTGGTGCAGGATCTCACCGCCTGTCCACCCTTAGGTACAAACATAGTGATTGGGAAAGGTTGTTTCCCAAGAAAGCTCATTCAGGCCTGTCAGGTGCTATAGACAATGGATTGTCGCCAATATACATATGTGTGTAGTGATGAAGGGTCTCTCATGGATCCATTGGCAATCTGGTGAATCCAAACCTACAATTCACTTGGCAGGGCCGACTAGTTTCCCTGGAAGTGATCCAGGATCTCCCTGGCACCAGAGGTGCATTCAGTTCCTTAGCCTAGCGCCGAGTAGCTGTTCTCCAGCACTTCTGTTCCTTGCAGCAGCTTCACTGAATGCTTCGGCTGCACAGTGCTGAACAAAATGGCGGAGGATAATATTTTTGACTAATAAATACCATTTTCCAATGAATATTTGGTGTGCTCGTCCACCAAAACATTAAATTGTAGCTTCCCACACTGAATCGATTTCCTCCATCGGGGTTTGGGCACCTTTCTCCAGCGCTGCCAGGTGTACCCACAGTTAAAATGGCCGCTGGTGCTCTGTCTCCACCTTCTCCATCACACTCAGCGCTCTGCATCCACATTCACTTCCACTGCAAGTGCTAAGTCAACAGTGCCGAGCGCTGACTTGCAGCACAACGTTCAGCGGCGGTTTGCTAAGCCACCGCTCGCAGCGGCTGAGCAACTGAACACGCCTCTGCACTTCCTTCCGCAGGGTGCACGGCAAAGCTACATACATGTCTAATATGTTTCTGCACGGTTATCATCACTCTTAAAGCTGAATTTAAGAATAAACAAATATTGTCTAAATACAAGAGTCAGGTGTATTCTTACTGGAATTTTGGAGTGCTTTGTGTATTTCTTCCATATCTGTGCAGTAATCCAGTGTGAAACTTTCCCTCTGTGCAGGAGCTTCCTGTAATAAAGACCAGTCACTGCTGCTCTCTCTCCTTGTGCAGGGTGACTGATCTTGTCTCCGCCCCCTCCTGTAATAAAGATCGCTCAATGCTGCTCTCTCCTTGTGCAGGGAGGCTGGTCTTTTCTCTGACCCCTCCTGTAGTAAAGACTGGTCACTGCTGCTCTCTCTCTCCTTGTGCAGGGAGGCTGGTCTTGTCTCCGCCCCCTCCTGTAATAAAGACCGGTCAATGCTGCTCTCTCCTTGTGCAGGGAGGCTGGTCTTTTCTCCACCCCCTCCTGTAATAAAGACCGGTCACTGCTGTTCTCTCCTTGTGCAGGGAGGCTGGTCTTGTCTCCGCCCCCTCCTGTAATAAAGACCGGTCACTGCTGCTCTCTGCTTGTGCAGGGAGGCTGGTCTTGTCTCCGCCCCCTCCTGTAATAAAGACCGGTCACTGCTGCTCTCTCCTTGTGCAGGGAGGCTGGTCTTGTCTCCGCCCCCTCCTGTAATAAAGACCGGTCACTGCTGCTCTCTCTCCTTGTGCAGGGTGACTGGTCTTGTCTCCGCCTAGGGTTGCCACCCGTACGGGTTTCACCCGTACAACCCAAGTTTGGAATCACGTGCCCGGGTCTGTGGCCACCTCCCGCCCGGGCACATGATTCAAACATTACAATGCCGCATTATACTTGCATTTCTTGCGGCGGACGCCAGGTGGCGCTGTCTCCTGTTCCTCGACTCTCCCTCCTCTATTTCCTCCGCGGCTGTAGTGGGAGGAAGTGACATCAGGGAGAGAGGGAGCCGTGAGGGACGAATCTTCCTCCGGCAGCCAGCCAGCCAGCAGGGGTGAAGAGCAGCGTTTTCGTCTGGCAGACGAGTTTGGGGCCGACCCTTCTCATCTCCTCAGCGACCTGTCATCTCACCTTTGAAGAAAAGCAGGTATTTATTACATTTTTATCAAATGCAATATGAATTGGAAGGGGGGGATCAGTATTGCACATTAAACATGCCCCCCAAAAAAATGTTTTGTGGGGGCATCTTTTATGTGCAATAGTACACATCAAGGATACAGGCAGGGGAACAAAACCTGACACTATTTCTTTATAGGTGACACAATAGGAAATGAAGGTCGGGGACACAGATGTTATGTGATATATTTTAATACACACAAAACAAATAAAACGTATGTCTGGTGTTCTACTTAAGGGCTTGTTTCCACCTGCCCGCACATCTACCGCAATGTCCCGTGCCCGGAACGCGAGGGACCGCCTATATAAAGTCTCCCTGCGCTCTGGGACGGGGGCGTGGCAGTGCCATTCACGTCAATGGCACTGCAGACCCGCCCACAGTACGATCAGCCGCACGTAACTCAAGTCAATGGCACTGCAGAAATGCCCCCCGCCCACAGTACGATCGGCCGCGAAGGAACGTGCGGTAATAAAATGCCCTGCATTCCAATGCGGTGGGATCCCAAAAAATCGTTCATGCACGATTTTTTGCGATTCCCTCTACACTGGAACGCAGTGGATTTTATTACCGCACGTTCCGCGGCCGATCGTAATGTGGGCGTGGGGCATTTCTGCAGTGCCATTGACTTGAATGGCACTGCCATGCCCCCTCCTACCCCAGAACGCAAGGAAACAATATCGCCCCCTCCTGTAATAAAGACCGGTCACTGCTGCTCCCCCTCCTTGTGCAGGGAGGCTGGTCTTGTCTCCGCCCCCTCCTGTAGCTTTCTTCAGGCAGGAAGAATTACACAAAGCACCTCATGATTCATTAAGAATACACATGACTCTTGTATTTAGATAATATTACCTTACCCCAGAGTTCAGGTTTAAACATGTCTGTGCCTCTGAGAGACGTTTATGTTGTGTCTGTATCTGGTTATATAAAGACGATGAAGTTCCTTATTTCATAATCTCCTATGACATAACATGTGACAGAAGCTGAGCCATTAGCAGTTGTCTGTCTTCCCTTGATAAAGTTATCTGCCTCCTGACTATGTTCAGACACACAGCTAAGGAGTGGCCAGCAAGGCCTGACCTGAAATGACACTTCTTGCACTGCAGAATGGGAGGCACGCAGCTGAATGTTACTTTAACCCCTTCCTAAACCGCTCCCAGGGCACTCATACAGTAAGCGCGGTGCCTTGTAAGGATCTTGGGGAGGAGTTTGCAGATCTTTTCCTTACATTTTACTTTTTTTTAAACCTTTCGTGACCAGGTTTTTATGTTTTGTTAACGCTCAGACCATGTTTAGCAGCATTGGTATTGGAATCAGTTATCTTGACAATCACTCTATGACTTATTTGCCAGCGGGTTTGAGAACTAAGCCCACAAATTGTGACAAACTCCAAGCATTGATTATGCAAGAATGGGCTGCCTTCAGTCAGAATGTGGTCCAGAAGTTGGTCCAGAAGTTTTCAACCGGACAGTACGGTTTTGGCATCTTGTGTCCGGTTTTCCGGCCACCGTAGCCCCGTACACAAGATGTCACAAGTTCAGGCAGACAGGGGCAGCCCCGGGGTCCTAGAGAGGAATATTGCACTAACGTGGAATCTTGGTGCTGGTGACATCTGTATATGAGTTCTTTTGTGAGCGGTGCCCTCCGCAGTCATTGCGAGCACCCGTTACTTTTGGGATATTCGGTAAAGAGTGCGACAAGGTATATGGATGCTGCTTTGTATAGTACATATGTGGGGTCCTGTGGCACACTGGCATCTTTGTGATTACCTCCAATGTTATTTAATCACAAAATACATGCATAGTGTACTTTACCAAACAATTGCCGCAAGGAGCTACAGTGTTCGGGTTTGGCTTGAAGAAAAGGTGGCAACCCTACCGGGGCGCATTGCAGAGGTCTGGAATAAGAAAGGTCAACACTGAAAATATTGACTCTTTGCATAAACTTGATGAATGACGGGGTCATTCACAAAGCTGCAGAAGGAAGCCAAGTAAATAACCGAGCCGTAGTGAAGTGAGCCGAACAACGTTCGGCTATTCACTACGTCTCAGTATGGCTGATTGCAGCCGTACATCGGCTGCCTTCAGCTGCACTTTGCTCTGCATGTTCGGCTGTGCTGAAGTGCAGAAGGACTTTGACTCAGCCGATCCAACATCTGGATCGGCTGAGACGAAGCTACGGCAGCTCACTCGCTGCTGTTCGCCCCCATTCTCATAGGAGCTGAACAGCAGTGAGTTAATAGCCGAATGCCGCCTGGCTATTCTGCTCGGTACCTCTGTGGTACCGAGCCGAATAGCAAATCAATGAGAATAGTTACAACAACAACAACAAAAAGTTGAAAAAATAATTTTAAAATGTTAATAAATTGAAAAATTAAAAAAATGAATAAAGATTTTTTTTAAAAGAAAGAAAAAAAAGATAATAAAAAAAATTGTGAGAAGCTAGCAGTGACAGCTAACTCCGCCAAACTGTTTCCTATTGGCCAGGACCTGCTAGAGTATTCTAGCAGGTTCCGGCCAATGAATAACAACTGGGCATCACAGCTGGCTCTGCCCAGCTGTCATTAGCGGGGAGAAAGGCAGCGTTCGGCTGGCCGTTTGCCCCGCTTTGGGTGTCACTTCAGCTCATTCAAGCCGAAGCATATGCCTTCGGCTTGGCTGAGCCGCTCGGCTGCCTTCGGCTGCTGTATGGGCTATTGTGAATAGCCCGTACAGCAGCCCTTCGGTTCAACTGAACCAAAGGGCTCTGGCAGCTGAAGAGTGCCGAAGGATCAGCCGAAGCTATGGCTGGATCCTTCGGCTCCTTTGTGAATAAACCCCTAAATGTAATTGTCAATAAAAGCCTTTGACACTTATGTAATACTTGTAATTATACTTCAGTATACCAGAGTGACATCTGACAAGAAGATCTTAAAACACTGAAGCAGCAGACTTTGAGAAAATGAATATTTGTGTCATTCTGAAAACTTTTGGCAAGGACTGTACATTGCTAGGCATTGTATACTTCTTTAAGTTGGATTCATTATTGAAAAAGGGTGTATGAGTTTAATATTACTTTAAGTATAAGTCACACTGGGGCACATAGTAACTCCATAACCCATGTAGGAACCCTCTGTGTGAACTTGTTGTGGGGGAAAAGACTTTTTATGTTACAGGACAATTATTCCAAAGTGCATAAGATTACAGTTTTCCATCTGTGCCAAGAAAGCTTTCAGGAAAATGCTATTTATAGCAAAGAGATAAATGATTCCAAGAGAATTCTGCTTCCCTTTCTGAGCAAATAAAGTTGGTTGTAGAAGGAAAAGGGAAAAAGCTCACCTCATCAGGTAACCCCTCAATCAAACAGTCCATAGATCAGCACTTCTATAATAATGAAGAATACAAAGTCTCTATTGGTATACAAAACAATGTATAAAGAAAAAAAAACATTTTTGTTTCCTTTTGGGATAAAGGTTTTCCATAAATGAATAAAAGCCGACCATTGGTTCGACCTCATCTGGAGTACGCGGTCCAGTTCTGGTCACCAGTACTAAGAAAAGATGTCCTTGAGTTGGAAAAAGTCCAGCGGAGGGCAACCAAACTAATTAGGGGTATGGAGGACCAGAGCTACGAGACAAGGCTACTAAATGTAAACATGTTCACATCGGAGGTGAGGAGATTAAGGGGGATATGATCTCCATGTACAAAATGTTCAATGGTGACAGCAACATTAGCGATAAACTGTTTAAAATTAACTCCATTACAAAAACTAGAGGCCACCACCTAAAATTGGTGGAAGGGGCGCAGGGGGTTCTTCACAGTAAGATCAGTTAGGGTCTGGAACTCACTGCCACAGGCGGTGATTTCAGCAAATAATGTGGAATTGTTCAAGAAACTTTTGGACGATTTCTTAAAGGACCGTAATATACAGGGGTACAGGTAATATACAGGGGTACAGGTAATATACAGGGGTACAGGTACTCCTAGAATGAGATCCTAATAGGTTGGACTTGATGGACTAATGTCTTTATTCAACCTCAAATACTATGTAACTATTTAACATTGTAAGCACCTCTGTCAGTGTTAAATTATTTGTCTCAACCCTCTATCTGCCACTTTGGCTGGACAGCTCGGGCCTGTTAAAGGACGTTAAAAAAATAAACATTTACTGACTAGATCACCAGGTGAAAATAAAGGAAAAAGGCCTATAAAAAGAAAACTAATGCAGGAGGCGGAGACATGACAGCCTGGATCACAGGAATTGTGTTATATGATGCTGGCTGTCATCCTGGAATAGAATGGCGGTGTTGTATGGAGGAAGAAGAGAGGGACAACACTGAAGTGTGGTGAGGGGGAGTGGTACTTGACCTCATTTACAGCATTGGTAGCACTAGCAACCACAGTAAAGATAATAAAATGTGAAGACAAATGTAGTGTATTTATTGGTTTTGTCTGGATAATAAAATAAAAGCTAATAAAACTTTTCTCATATGTTTCATTGGTTCAGGATCTCTTACAAGGTACGATGAGGCTGTTGTTTCTACTGACTGGCAAGAGAAGCTGACCCCGGAGCAGTACTATGTGACCAGAGAGAAGGGGACCGAGCTGGTGAGTCGGCTAAAAAACATTTAGTCCCCGTTCACACCTCAGGGTTTTGTAGCTCAAAAGTAAGCGCAACAAAATGGACAAGACAAGGAATCCAATTCATTTCTTTGGCCTTTGTTCACCTGCAGAAAAATGCCTGTTGCTACAAAAAGTACGGCCACATTCACACCTGAGCATAGCGATAACGCGCGTTGCATTCGTGTGCATTCTTGTGTGTTTGTTCTCCACATTTGCTGCGCCTCCCCGTTGATTTCAATGGGTCCCTGTACATGCTACAAGCTCTGAAAAGTAGTGCATGTGTATTCCGTTTTCCCCCCACTGTGTTTGTGCATGTTTTAACACCGCAAGGGCAGGGGAAAAACACGCACCTTCCTAGCTGTGGTTGGGGTGCCATTTTGCAAAAATGCTCAGGTAGATTACAGCACATTTTGTCTCATAGACTTCAATGGAAAACGCGTGACACGGGCATTTTTGCACATTTTGTCATGTGTTTGTCACGCAAAAATCAACCCTGCTCCTCTTAAATCACCTGACAAACACGTCAGGTAAAGCATGGAATATGTATTTCATGTGTATTTAGATGTTTTCCTGGAGTTCAGCTTTCAATATTCATTGTGTATTGGTATAGAGGTTTGGAAGCTGGCGCAGTATTCTCGGTATATGACGGCTCTGTATATTTGTGTTTAGCCTTTCAGTGGCATCTATCTGAACAACACAGAAGACGGCACGTATCACTGCGTGTGCTGCAACGCTCCACTCTTCAGGTAACACACAGTCATTTGTCCTCCGGGATTTGGAAAATTACAACAAAATGAAGAAAAATGACAAAATAGCATCCTGGAAATAACGGAAAATATCGGCCTCATGCCCTCTGTACACAATGAAGACCAATACACAGGAGGAGGAGGTGACATTATTGCTGGAACATGACAGTCAGAGGCTAATCATTCACACAGATCTGTACAGGAGCTTCTTTGGAGCATGATCACACATTTGTGGCTGCAATAGACTTCAGTGGAAGCACCTTCCCATAGGCCAGGGGTGGGCAAACTCCGGGCCCTCCAGCTGTGGTCAAACTACAAATTCCATGAAGCGTCTGTCTGTAGGAGTCATGCCTGTGGCTGTGAGAATCTTGCAATGGCTCGTGGGATTTGTAGTTCTACAACAGCTGGAGTGCCAGAGTTTGCCCACCCCTGCCATAGGCGATGTTATGTCTGACAAACGTCTCCTCCTCCTAGTAATTAGCTTTTCATTGGGTAAAACAAAAACGCTCAAGCCTGAAAACATGCGAAAAACAACCAAAGAGCTGGTTCACATTGGGCAGTGTTGGCCAATGCAGTCCCAAGGCAAAAAGCCTTGCATTATATAGGGCCAGTTCACACCAACACGATGCATTGCTGTACATTGCAATGAAATGACGCAGGCATCATTATGTCGCAGAGCATTACAACGCAGTGCAACACTAAAAACACACTGCAGCACATGGGATTTACAAGAAATTAAAACTGAGCATTGCAATTCATTATAACAACGCATGACAGCACACCTTGACACCATACAGCAGTGCACATATCTTATGTGCAATGCATTGGTGTGCAGAGTAAGCCAGCCCTAATCCCAAAAACAAAAATGTGATATATTGCAGCTCACCTTTATTTTCACCTGATGATCCTGCTAGTGCCACACTTCCTGTCTTGGGGTCAGGGCCATCCATATATTGAGGCATCTCTTTGGGTTACATGGGAGGCCGGAGCATCCCAGGTTTCTAAGAGCAGGGTGGGGAGATGTGTAAGGGCCATACACACCTCTTTTTCCAACTCTTAGCAACTTGGGACACTCCGGCTGGAATACCACTCAGCACCTGGCAACCAGTGATGTCAGTGGACTGGGCGGGACGCCGGCTGGAGCTGGGAAGTGCACCACCAGGACACTGGCCAGAGTACCATTAGCCTGTACCACCAGCATCAACCAACCCATCAACACCCTGCCAACCCCCCCCTTCCTCCCAAAATGTGACCACAGACACCCCCCTAAAGCGACCACCCACCTCAGGTGGCTATTATGCTATGGCCACCCCTGCGTGAGATGACAACACTTAGCCCTCGTTCACACCTGAACGTTTTGTAGCGCGTTCTACGCTCGACGAACGCTCTACAAAACGCTCAAAAATATAAATCCCATTGTAGTCAATGGTCTCGTTCCCACCTTGGCGTATTTCCGCCCGTCCCTAACGCGCTGCAAAACGGCCCACGCCTGAAAAGGTACAGGTACTACTTTGGGCCGTTTTTTTGCTCGTTTCCATTGGGCTACAGCCAAGTAGCCTTCGGAAACGCGCGACGGTCGCGCAACTTTTTTACCGCAAATCGCAGTAAAAAAACGCGCGACGGTCGCGCATATGCAATACGCCTAGGTGTGAACGAGACCTCAGTCATTGTACCGTATCTTTGGAGGGGCAGCATTGTCACCCCAAGTCAAGCAGTTGAAGCTACATCTAAATAAATGATATAAAACGGCCGTAGACTCTCTTCATAGGTCGTCATTATTTCAGATGTAAAAGTAATATCTGCCAATGTTTCCATTGTTAATATTCTTTTTTCATCTCTAATTTTCAGTTCGGATAAGAAGTACAATTCGGGAACTGGCTGGCCCTCCTTTTGGGAAGCGTATGGAAATGTTGGGGATGATGAAAGCAACACGAATGTACTAAGACGGCCGGATAACTCTTTGGGGAGTATGGGGACTGAAGTTCTCTGCAAAGAGGTGACGTGCATTGATGAGCCATTATAAAAGTGCTCTCCACATTCAGAAGAAATAGTGAGAACCTGTCTATGTCAGGTACACTGTGCTATTATTTTCGTCCAACCTGCGGGCTGAATGAAAAAAATAGAACAGAATCCTCCATCAAAGCTTACAAGAGTTGATCGAGAAAACCGCTGTTTACTTTGTACATTTGCCGGCGGACGCTGTTAGAATACCCAAACAGAGCCGGCAGCTCATTGGCTAACGGCTGTATTCGTATGAAGATTTTCCGATTGGCTCCTTCAATCAGCTGATCGAGGGATGCCGGCCAAAAGGGTGCCGACAGATGAACCCGGTGTGCGAATTGTGGCTGGTTCATCAAGAGCTTGCCGAAATTCACACAGTGTATGGCTACCTTAGAAATCAATGGGATTACTTGTCTTGAGTCCATTATAAATTATGGACATTCCTACATTGCATAGTGAGCGGGAGACTTCAATGTAAGTGTACTACTGTTACATAACTTCTCCCCAGAGCTAGTCCCAACAACTCTTTCCTGACCACGTGCTGCAGGGAGAAATGCTGCTTTCTGCAGTGATAAGGCCTCTCTGCAGAAGTCCAGTGATAAGTTATAGGGGCAGTCCAGGTGTCCAGCACTCTGAAGGGGGTGTCACCACACACATATATGTGTTGGACGGGGTTGATGGTGGTGTGCGGCTTCCTGTTAGTACGGACTGTGGTGTCTGACACGTGCAGAAGTCCAGCATGCCCCGACTGAGTAACAGCAGTTCTCCAGTCATCAAAGTTCATGATCCCTGCTGATTGGAGAGCTGTAGCTCTGACTCAGTGGGTAAGGGGGTATGTTGGACCACTGTAGAGAGACTGCTGCTTCCTTTAGGGATAGGAAGCAGAGATGCTGGGACTTTTTTACATTCCTGAACATGATAAATAAATAATGTTAGAATTATTCTAAAGAGCACAAGTCTGTATCACATCATTTATTCCTCTCTCCTCTTCTTTCTGCAGTGTGACGCCCACCTCGGTCACGTGTTTGATGATGGCCCCGCACCCACGGGTCATAGATTCTGTATTAACAGTGTTGCACTCACTTTCAAGCCCAGCTAGATGAAGGGCAGCCCGGCGGTGAATGAAGAGAATTATTTTTAGAAATGTTTTTTGTGTATTTGTAACATTTAAATTGTGTTTTTACTGGAACACCTGACCTTGAATTGTATACATTGTACTCTGTTTTGTCCGGTGTTTTGTATGCAGTGAAAAGTGTGGTAACCCAGAGCAGCCAATCAGAATTCACAGCAGGCAGAACAAATGGATCCTGATTGGTTCCTGTCAGGCTCGCACCGCTCTGCTATGTACATTTTTGTTGAACAGGCGCAGATGTGTTTTATACTTTTTAGCAAAGTAAAACAAGAAGAAATGTCTATAATTCTGGGGGTGGGGGTGTTTCAGGGAATGATAATATTCATCTCTTCAGGGGCTTTCCTAGACGTCTCACAACCTGAGGCCAGATGATGGGTGCTCATTATGCACATTTCGGGCGGGGAGTTAGCTACTATTGGCAACTTCTGGGGGGAATTGGGACAGGGGTGGTTCGTGGTGCATGGCATCTTGCCCAACTCACTGATGTCACTGGTTGCCAGGAGTTGGCGTGTTGCCAGCCAGAGTATCTTGCATTGCTCCTGGTAACCAGTGACATCAGTGAGCAGGGTGGGACGCCAACCAGAATGTCATCGGTTCCTAAGAGCTCGGGCAACCTGGGATACTCTGGCTGGAAAGAGGGCAGCAGGTACACCTTCCGCCCAGTGGCATCACGAGGGGGGGTGGGGCCCGCATCTGGTTGACACCATTGGGGGGTGGCACCAAAATAATTGACAGTCATTTTGGTGTCACCCCCTCTGAATAGTCGGGCACTCGGTCATTGACCGAGAGCCCGACAGTTGCAGGAGAGAGGAGGGGACCTGGCGGCATACCTTATCCTGCCGGGTGAACGTCCCCTCCTCTCTATGCCGGCCTCAGGACACCTCTGCTTCCGCCCACCCATGTGACCCAACGAGATGCCGCCTGAGACAACCCCCTCAGGCTGCCATATTATAGGGATGGCCCTGCATCTCTTTGCTTAGAGTTTCCTCCAGATTTAAAGTAGAACCGTGGCCAGCCTATGGACATCCAAATATTGAAATACTCTTAAAGCTGAAGTAAAATGAAGTAGAGTGGGCGAGATGTTTCCATGATTGCCATGCACAGCAAACTTGCACATTATGGCAGACTTATGGCAGCCTCATTCACATGGGATATTAGGACCAACATGCTGCAAGAATCATGGTCTTCCTGCGGCTGGGATCACAAATGGTTGCGGACATCTATACACTGCTCAGCCTGCACATTTCAATGACAAGCTAACATGCTCTGCAGCTGTGCACATGTATCAACATGATGAGCGATTCTGGACGCAAGCTGTCTGCATCCAGAGTCACTCATCTGACCCTCAGTGAGGTTGCCTACCCCTGCTATAATGGGACATGGTGCTGACAAATATCAAAACTGTCTTCCAGGGATGCTGCTAGAGTTGGATTTTAGTGTCTCATCTGTTAAATGTTTTCTGTGTTTTTCCTAAATAAAGGCCGTATGACGGCAGAGCCGGAACGTTTTCCTCTTTTTCTGAAGCCATTATATGGACGTCACCAAACAAACTGTGTGAACCTCTCACGGCTTTTTACCAGCCGTTCCCTTTAGCAGTCAGCCAACATAGAGCTGTACCCTAAACACAATGTAAACCCATTCCGTTTGCGAAAGCACAATGTATTATATACAAATGTTTGTTTTTATATACAATATTGTTTCAGCCATTTTTTATTTCATCATTGCTGCATCTCAGTGCACTGTGGCAAAGATGGCTTAGGCGGCAGCGGTGGTGAACGGGTGGTGGTAGCGCTGCCTGTGTGTGTCTGCATACAGTCAGCTCAGTGGTGCAGAGTCTGTTCAAAAGTATTGAGTAAAAGTCTCCGCCTGGTTACTGCACACTGACTGGCAGCACTGCGCTCAGTGACACTGAACCTGCACTGCCACCTCGGTTGGCCTCATTGGTGGCACAGCCCTAGTTATAGACCTCAGATCAGACCCAATTCCTGCACCTTCATATGCCAGATCAGACCCACTTCCTGCAGAGCTTAGATCAGACCCAATTCCTGCACCTTCATATGCCAGATCAGACCCAATTCCTGCACCTTCATATGCCAGATCAGACCCAATTCCTGCAGAGCTTAGATCAGCGCCAATTCCTGCACCTTCAGAGCTTAGATCACCCTCAGTTCCTGCGCCATTAGACCTCAGATCAGTCCCAATTCCTGTAAAGCACAGGGGTTGTACAAATATACTTGCTGCAGCTGACAGTTCCAGTAGCAGAAGAAAGAGGGTAGGTAGGCATCAGCAGCTGCAGGTGAACCTAAGCTTGTATTGTGAGGAGGGCGTCAGGCCGGCCTGTCTGCAACGTCATGGAGCTGGGTGGGCTGGTGGTGAAGGGCAGGCCAGGCTAAATAATTCACAGCCTAGTGAGCTTTCAATTACAACCTATGACAGCAGCACTGTATTAATTGAAAGCTGGGACCCACTGTTATGGTAAGCCTATGGAGGCTGAGGGGTTAGTGGA